GGACTGTATATTCAAGTACCACTGTTTTCTTTTCTCACTCTCCGCAGTCATACATTATCCCTGCAAAGTGAGGGACTGGTCTGCATTTCAGTGGACGCATGGATGATGAAAATGTAAGGTTTGCCATAGCTCAGGCTACCTCTGTTTATTCTATGTAATGGTATTGTGTACTGTGTTCCTGCTGGCTTAAACTGGCTTTGGCTTGTCTACTTAAAGGTAATAATGATGTATGAGTTGAGGGCCTCTGCTTGCCAGATATGTTAAGAATCAAATATCTAGGCCAAATAGCTACAAAGGAGCATGCTACAAACACTGCCAACAATGAAAGAAGTGTACTGTGTTAGCCACTTTACACCTGGTGCATACTTTTCCCAAGACATGACTGCCACCCTTGCATATCAGTAGGCAAGTCACTGATGAATCCTATCTTGAATTTTTAACATTTTCCATAGGTTATGCTACATATAAGTAACATACAATAATGATTATTTCTTATTAATTGTAAATAAGCCAAGGTATACACAATATATGGGTACACATATCATTTGTGCTGACAGTACCATCCATGTCTCCTACCATCACCAATGACATCATTTTCATTTCATTTAATTTATTCATCTTCCATAAATCCTGTCGAGAATACATTCTCATGCGGATGTGGAGACCGTTCTAGTTACAGTCACAACTAAGAATAACAGCTGTCATCCAACAGCATACACATTTGTAATAAAATACTGATAAACATATACAATATAATAAATAAGTTAATTTTAGTGGTAAGAGTAATGGCAAACCTTATACAATTTGTACAGTTTTATGGAAGTCTATTAATTAAAAATTAATTAAAAATAGTTAAAACACAATGTCATTAATGAGTTTTGTATAACATACATTAATTATATAATAAATTGAAATAAAGACTAGTATACTGTGATATAAAGAATGTGTATATCTAAAATAAGCATCTAAAAACCAGAACACAGACTGACAATCTTGTCTTCTTTTAACTGTAAAGCAAGACAGCTACTCACATGTTAAAAAGATTTATATCCAAAATATTCCCATAAAGAATAAAAAGAATGTAAATATAAGAAGTTTTAATTGTATCTCAGAACTCTTAGTGTCACTCGATATATCCTTAACTCCCTTTTGGTATTTAGTCAAATTTACAAGAGGCTGATGGAGACTATTTTGCTGTCTGGTATTTATTTTGTGAATCTCTGAATTTACTATGAATTTGTTTCTGTTTTTTAATCACAAAGAGCATAAGAGATAGTATATGTACTGAGATGCCAGAGGTAAGATTTCTAATTCTCTAAATAAGTTCCTGCACAAATCCCTCCTTCTGCGTCCCAACATAATTCTAATTATATTCTTTTGCATTCTAAACATTTTTATACTTTGGGGTGAGTTACCCCAAAAGGGTAAACCATAATTTAGATTAGAATTAAAATAAGAGTGATAAACTATTTTTAAGGTATTTATGGACGTGTATGGTTTAAGCGATCTTATTATGTAGCAGACTTCACTTAGTTTTGAACTAATATACTCAGTGTGGTACTTCCAGCTCATTGTGTCATCAATGAATATTCCAAGAAATTTAATATTAGCTATAGATGTAATTTGTTTTTTTTTTATGTGTAAATTGAATGTAGTGGGTTTTGTTAAAATTTATAGAAAGTTGGTTTACTTTGAACCATTCATTTATACTATGAAAAGCATTGCTTATATTTACACAGAGATCATCATAGTTTGAACTTTTAACTAACAAACTAGTGTCGTCTGCAAATAATATAGGTACAGTTTTATCATTTATAGTTTTGGGTAAATCGTTTATATAAATGAGAAATAACAATGGACCCAGAATTGAACCTTGCAGGACACCAGGTCTAATTTTGCCCAATGTCGAAAATTCATTGAGATTAAGATTTATATTTGTAATTACAACCCTTTGATATCTATTTCTGAAATATGATTCAAGCCATAATATATACCCTTTTTCCCATAGAATTCCAATTTTGACAACAGAACCTCATGATTAACACAATCAAAGGCCTTTTCTAGGTCACAAAAAATGCCTCCTATTAAGTTTCTGCTGTTTAAGGTCTTACAGATTTCATTCACTAACTTGTATATAGCCTCATCTGTTGAAGATTTTGTTCTAAAAACAAACTGTTCTTCCACTAAAATGTTATTGTTATTTAAGTGCTCAATCAATTGAATACTCATAGCTTTTTCTAATACCTTAGAGAACAAAGTTAAAAGTGATATAGGCCTATAGTTGGAAATATTTGATTTATCACCTTTTTTAAACAGTGGTCTTATTTCTGAGTATTTTAAACGATGTGGGAAAACTCCTTGTGATAATAAATTGTTCCATATGTGAGTCAAAGGAGAGCTCATGAAAAAGGAACTCATTCTTAATACTTTAGTGGATATTTCATCATATCCATAAGAGTTTTTTGCTTTGAGAGATTTAATTATATTTTCAACTTCCTTAGTTGATAAAGATTTAAGTTTAATATGTGGAAAGGTATTTATAAAAGTTTTCATTAAATACTGAATGGGAGTAGTGTCTGGAAGGTAACTAATATTAGTATTATTTTGTTTATTTTATGCATTTTTATTTTCAGCTACAGATAAAAAGTAATTGTTTAAGGTTTCCGCAATTACTTGCTTTTGTCTAATCTATTTTCTGTCCACCTTTAATGTGCATATTTCTTCATTATTTGGCCCCTTATTAGTTTCTAAATTTACTATATCTCATAAGGTTTTATTTTTATTTTTTGAATTTTGTTATCATATGTTAGTTTTTTAGCTTCCTTAATGACCTTAGATAAAATTTTACAGTATTTTTTATAATAGTTTCTAAATTCTGAATTATTACTGTTTCTACATGCCATATAGAGTACTCGTTTATGTTTACAGGATGTTATTATTCCTATAGCAATCCAATCACTTATTTTATTTGAAATTTTAATTTTTTTTTGGGGGGGGGGAACTGGAATAGTAAGTGCAAGCTGCTGGCAAGCGTGGAGAGGCCCCTTGTTCCTTGTAAGGAGGTAAGAGGAAGATATTACCTCCTTGTGTCTCTGTATGTAGAATCCTGCAAATATTTTAATTCTACAGTTTATTATCTTGGAATAGGGACTTTAAATCTCTCAGTTCTACAGGGTTGGCTGTCCTATTCTAACTCTAGGGTAACAGTATTACTACCAAAAAAATACACTGCTCAACCACAGATATTGCATGCATAGCCATTGCAATAATGCAATACCCAGCTTGTAATGTCTAAAACTACAGCTGTTGCAAGCTGATAAAAGTTGCAAGTACCTGTAACCTTCCATCCAGGCTGCGAGGTATAGTGACGCAATCACTAGACTGTCCTGGTGAACTCAATGCTCGCTCCAACTCTTCAATGGCACCCTTTTTCTTCTTAAGCTTCTTGACCAAAGAATCAACAGCTTTTTCTGCCCACTTCTCCTCCTCATCACCTTGTTTCCAGCCTAAGAGTTTCTTTACAGCAGGACTAGTGAATGAAAATAAGCTGTTGAGTGATGATATGGGACCACCAGATCCAGAGGACTCTGCTTCATCTGCATCCATTATTACTCACTTATAACAAATGAGAAGTGTCCTTACAATTCTGTAAGTTATTGCCTACAAATAAAATAAAACCATGTTAACACTGTGATAACATATAACACTCATGTCTGTACTAAGGATGAAATCATGCACAAATATCTGGAAAATGGGTAAAACAGTATAGTAACGCCACACGTTACTGCCTAAATATAAAATACAAACCATGTTAAAACAGTGACACATAACAGAATCATTGAAAAATGCATGACTCCTATCTGTACAAGGGAAGCTGTCATGCATAAACTTCTTGCAAGGGACTCAGATTGTAATCTATAATTATGGCCATTTCTTAACTGTAGGAGAAATTACCTCCATCTACAAATATTAATTTATTTCACAGTAACAAATATAACTAGGCTATAGATCTCAGTATGATTCATGCCTGAGAGAACGCTGCACATATTACTTTAGGGTTTAAAATTTTACAAGCCAGTAAAAATAGTTATTACTGTTAAAACTTTCTGTGCATCTGCCTAGTATACGGTACAAATTTTCTTCAAGTTTTCGATTACTATTTAAACATCCTTGCATAGCATCAGTGAGATCAAGATGTAGGGTGTCTACTGTATTAATTAGACCATCATCTCTGTTACATAATATGGCTCTTATATGCTTACCAGATTTTGTTCTTCTTGATTAGTGGCGTCCACTACTTCAGTTATAATAATTCCTTTCATCCAACTAGCGCATTCTTTGTTACAAATGTTTACGTTCGTACCTCTGAATAGTATGGCTTCTGTTTACTGGCGACTAAAAGTCGGGGACCACATCTCAACCGATATTCATCCGCACATATGTTTCGTGTAAAAATGTCCATTTCAATCACCAAGGTGTAATACGAGCATTTACAAATCTCTCAGTATAATTAATAATATTCAAGGTAACTTTTATCATTATAATTATCGATGTTTATTATATCCGCAACCATCTAGAATTTCTCGTTTGTGGAACTATATAATATGGTGAGAGACCAGGTCATCCGCTGTACCCGACGTTCTCTGGCGACAAGATGTCTAGGAACTGGCGGCATAATTTAAAAGAAACAATGTCAATTCTAGTAGTATGAAATAATACTATTGTATACACTTGGAATATCGCATTTTAAACGCAAATTCTATACGTGATCAAAAGTCGTAATTCCTAACATATAATATTACTGGGATTCCCTATTTCTTCAGTCACATTCCTTTTGCATGTATTTAGAACCATTCCCCAAGGAAATGGCCCACGAAGCCATCACAAATAACTGTTAGCAAGGTCTTTTCTTAAGATGCTGATATTCTCTCAGCCGGTCAAGATATTTCTCACACTGAACCCAACGGTTCATCATTGCACTATAAGAGTTCATGGTTTATAATGTGCCAGTTGAATCAACATGCACTATGCTTTTCAAGTTTTGTTCTAATATTATCTTCTCTGGTCTCCCAAATGATCCAGTCCATTCAGGTTTCCGCATTAAAATTGAGTTGTATTTCTCATTTACCCTTGCATGCTGCAGGCCATCTGTATCTCATCCTCCTTGTTTGATCACCGTAACTATATATGATGAAAAACGCAAATAATAAAGCTTGTAACTGTTTAATTTTCTCCACACTCCTGTCACTTCCTCCTTTCTCAGTCCCCCCATATTCTCCTCAGCACCCTGTCCTCAGACACAATAAAGCTTATCATAAATTTCTTACATTCAATACCAGTTTTTAAGCACAATTTATCCCTTAATACCAAACTGTATATAGATTAATACAGACTCCCACATTTTCTAAACAAATCGGCTTAACAGATGGTATAGAGGTTGTCAGTCTTATATGGCGCCCGCCCTTTACCCTCTGGAATATTCCTGGTACTCATTTCTGTTAGAGGCCGAGTTGACCTCAGGGCCATAGTGGGGCTGGAAGGATTAGGTCAGTTGAGAAATCCAATCAAATCCAATGGTAATTCAACCGATGACCTTCTGGCTTGTAGTCTAATGCCTAAACCAACCAAGCTACTGTGTGCCCCCCTATTTCTCTGGTACTAATTTCAATATTATTCTCCAATCTATGCCTAGGTCTCCTGAGTGGTCTCTTCTCCTCAGCTTTTCCACCTTATTTCAAATATCTGTCAAAATTCCACGACATATACTATCTGCCCCATCCATTTCATCCTCCTAGATCTGATCATAGTTTGGTGAAGTATACAAATTATGAAGCCTCTGCCTCTTGTTACACAATTTTCACCATCCTCCTGTTACTCAAGCCCTCTTAAGACCTGCCAGTTCTCAAATATCCTCTATCTACGTAGGTCAGTCAAGAAGTTCCTGGAATTCCCCTGCAGATGGAGAATGAGCAATAAGATAGGGCACACACTGTTGTGGTGGGAAGCTCAGCATGTCTGCTCAGAGTCACAACATGTCTGGACAGGTTTAAGTGTGCAGTGTCGTTACTGTTCCATTTGAATTAGACGTGAGTGTTGGTCATTCAGTGCAATGTCGCAGTTCGAACAGCGTGCAAACATCAAGTTCATGTGCAAATTGGGAAAATCTGCTTCAGAGATGCTATTGGCCCTGCAGCAAATTTACGGTGATACTGTACTAAAGAAATCTGCAGTTTACAACTGGTTCTCCCAGTTTAAGAGTGGGCAGGAGGCATTAGGGGATGACCAGCGCAGCGGGAGACCTTCGACATTCAGAACTGAAGAAATGATTGGAAAGTGCGACAACTGATTCGATGTGATCGAAGAATGACCATCGCAGAGTTGGAGCAAGAAGTTGGTACTGTTACTGGCCATTTCTACGTGCAAGTTTTGCAGAGGTTGTGCAATGCAGTTCGGAGGAAGTGGCAGGGACAGCGGTTTCTGCATCATGATAACACACCGAGCCACACATTGCTTGTTGTGCAGCAATTCCTCGCCGAGAAAAACATTCCTGTCACCACTCAACCACCGTACTCTCCGGATCTCGCTCTGAGTGACTTTTGGCTGTTCCCTACTCTGAAAATCAGGCCTCAAGGGGACACGTTTCCCAACCATGGAGGACATCAAATCGAATGCGATGGCTGAGTTCCGGAAGATTCCAAAAGAAGCCTTCCACCACTGCTTCCAATAATGGCAGGATCGATGGAGCAAGTGTGTGCGCATGCAAGAGTCCTACTTTGAAGGTGATTAGGTAAGTGCTGCCATATGTCCTACCATTAGAGTGCTGTATCACCATTCCGGGAACTTTTTGACTGACCCTTGTATGTTCTTCTCTTAATATCAGTTTTTTTTTTTTTAAATTCGCTTAGTGGGGGGTGGAGTCAAAGTGGGTCCACTCGGCACGATGGCCACTGATTGGCCTAATGTAGCCTGCCCCAGGTGATTATGATGATGGAGAATTTGGTGGAATGAAGATTGGCAGGGGAAACCGAAGTACAGTGGAACCTCGCTTAACAAGCATAATTCGTTCCAGAATCTTACTCGTATTGCGAAACATTCGTTAAGCGAAACAATTTTTCCCATATAAATTAATGTAAAATACGATAAGGCGTTTCATGCCGGAAAAAACATTAAAAAATTTTATGTATAACGTTTATTCAAAGAAAATTATATATACATTGTTAAGGAGCATGAATCATTTTAATCTTTTATTCTATGCGGAATGAACCAACCTGGAATGCAAATTCAATTTGCAGAAAAAGAAAAAAAAAATCGAAATAATTAGTTTATTGTTTATGATACATATCTAATTCTTTTTTTACTAGAAAGCTGTGTAGACATGTGTTTTTGCTGATGCTTCAAAATTTGGTGAAAATGCGACACAGCATTATCATTAAATAAATTTGTAGCATGCACAGCCACTGCCTTATTAGGGTGATGCTTCTCAGTGTACGATGCAACAGTTTCCCATGCTTTCAGCATTTCTCTTATTGCGCCAGAAGATTGCTGCTTTGCTGTTACCTCCTCCTCCTCCTCTGACAAACTCTCCTCCACAACTTCTTGCTGTGAAACACAATACAACTCCATAAGCTCTTCGGTGGTAAGCTCTTGGCTGTGCTATTCCACAAGCTCGATATCATTTTTATCCACCTCCAGCCCCATGATCTTGGCCAAAGACACACTCTCGTTGACTACAGGCTCCACAGGTACTATCTCAAACCCCTCAAAATCACATTCAACAACGGTCTCCGGCCAAAGCTTCTTCCAAGCAGAAGTGAGGGTTCTCATGGTAACCCCTTCCCACGCCTTTTCGATCATCTTGAGGCAGGCAACGATGTGGAAGTGATATTTCCAAAACTCTCCAAGAGTGAGATTGGTCCCTTCAGTCACCTCAAAACAATGCCCGAAGAGTGCTTTAGTGTACAGCTTCTTCAAGTCAGAAATAACCTGCTGGTCCATAGGCTGGAGTAATGGAGTGGTGTTGGGAGGCAGAAACTGGATCTTGATGAATTTAAATTCTTCAAGGAGGTCATCTTGTAGGTCTGGAGGATGGGCAGGAGCGTTGTCCATAACAAGCAAGACGTGGAGTGGCAGATTCATCTCAAGCAAATATTTTTTCACAGAAGGACCAAACACTTCATTGATCCAATGAGTAAGAAGGTCATGTGTCACCCAAGCCTTGTTGTTGGACCTCCACATCACATTTAGCCTGGTCTTCTGGACTTTACACTTCTTGAAGGCTCATGGAGTTTCTGAATGGTAAACAAGCAGAGGTTTAATTTTCTAATTGCCGCTTGCATTGGCACAAAATAGCAGCGTGAGACAGTCTTTCATTGGCTTATGGCCAGGCAATGCATTATCCTCTGCTATTATGTAGGTTTGCTTCGGCATCTTTTCCAGAAGAGACCCTTCTTGTCACAATTAAAAACCTGTTGTGGCAGGTAACCCTCAGAACCTACGAGCTTCTTGAAGTCGCCGATGAAGTTCTCTGCTGCCTTTGTGTTGGAGCTTGCTGCTTCACCATGCCTTACAACACTGTGGATGCCGGTTCTTCTCTTAAACTTCTTGAACCACCCGCGGCTTACTTTAAATGCTTCTTCTTTGGCCGTTGATGATCCTGGCGTCTTCTTAACGAGGTCGGCTAAACTAACTTTCGTTTCTCACAAATGATGTTCTCGTTAGTAGTGTCGCCTTGAAATTGCTTTTCATTATCCATATGAGGAGCAACCTTTCAACACTGTCGACAATATGTAACCGTTGCGTAGATATTCTTGTCACTCCCTTTGAAGCATGTATCTCCTTAATCTTGTTCTTGGGGATAGTGCAAATCGTTGATGTAGACCGATTGTATGTGCATGTTAGATCAGCCACGCTCACACCTTGTTCTCTCTTTTCAATGATTTTATGTTTCATTTCTATGGTTATTTTTATTCTCTTATGGCTGTCTTTTTCTTTGGGGACATTTTTGCAAGGGTTATTAAACTTCCCCTCTCGTCACTCATTATGCGAAACGTTGCTCGTTACAATTTGTTTTGCTCGTTATGTGAATTACTCGCTATGAGAGGTGCTCGTTTAGCGAGGTTCAACTGTACTCAGAGAAACCCGCCTCAGCGTCACTTTGTCCACCACAAATCCCACTTGATCAGACCCGGGATTCAACCCGAGCCGCCGCTGTGAGAAACCGCCTGAGCTATGGCGCAGCCTCATATTAGACATTAATACTCATGCAGGCAAAAGCACAGATGCAACTAAACTTCTGCATACTTTAATCTTCAGAGTTTCTAGAGAGCTGACTGCAAGACAAAAGAATCTGAACACACTCCTTTACAATACTGAGACTGTTACCTATCATTTGTTATTATTTGCAGCTGAAGCTCCTGTACTGAAATAAGCAACTGAAAACAC